ACCAAAAAAAAAAAAAAAAAAAAAAAAAAAAAAAAAAAAAAAAAAAATCTTCTATCTTAAAATCTCCTCCCAGGAATGCTATAAACTTTGCTACCAAGTTGGAAACATCAGCCTCTCATTTAAAATCCCCACACTCTCTGGGAGGGGCTTTGGAGTGACGTTCTTAGATTGTGACTGACAATTGAGCTGCTCATTAGAAATGTAAAATCCATGAAAGAACAGTGCTGTGTCTTGATTGTGGTGGTGGATACTCATACCTATGCATGTGATAAAACTGCGCAGAGCTACACACACATGCACACATAAATGAGTGTATGTAAAACTTGAAATCTGAATAAAAATTGTATCTGATTCCGTCCCTGACAGCATTTGGGTTCTAGGGTCCTGGGAGGATCACAGAGAGGCCCCTGAAAGGGGCAGAGAAAAAATGGCAAAGGAGGAAAGGAGCTAAATGTCACCAATTTTACAATATCGCCAAAGCTCCAGACCTTGATTGAAAGAGACATGTTGTTTTCCTACTGACAGCAGGCATTTACCAGGCTGCCTCCGCATTCTGCTTGTGTGTTGCTCAACATATAACAGAATTAAGGACTTCATCACAGGGTAGCTTCAAGCTGGACAACCAGCGTCTACAGAAAGAATGACTCCCAAGTCACCTGAAACATCGACAGCCCTGACTTACTCATGCCCATCTTGTTTGCAGTCTGTGAGATCAGAGGCCTGTGACAGCAGGCAGTAAAAAGAGAAGAAAACACACTGGCTGGTCCTGACAGATTCTTTTTTTTTTTTTTTTTCCCTTGAGTCAGGTTCTTACTGTTGCCCAGGCTGGAGGACAGTGGCACAATCATGGCTCCCTCAACCATCCAGGCTGAAGTGATCCTCCTGCCTCAGCCTCCCGAGTAATCTGGGACTATAGGTACACACTACTACGCCTGACTATTTTTAAAATTTTTTGTAGACACAGGGTCTCACTATATAGCCCAGTCTAGTTGCCAACTCTTGGGCTCAAGTGATCTGCCAGCCTTAGCCAAAGTGTTGGGATTACAGGCATGAGCCACCACGCCCAGCCCTGACACATTCTAAATCAGCACCCTCACCTGGATATAGCGTCCAGATTTAATCCCAGCTTCTAACACTTCCAGGGGAAGATGTTCTGGATACTCCTTCCCATGGCTCTCCTGACTCTCATTCTCTCTCTCCCGTCGAGACTGAAGGATAGAATCACAAAGCTCGCGGGCAGCTTTTAAATCAGGCCAGAAATTGTCCAGGTAATTCTGTATTTAACAAAAGCACAGAGAAATATGGTCAGAAGGTGTTGATTCTTCATCATGGTACTACTACAGAAACTCCTGACTAGGAACTGCTGGCCTGCTGCTTTGAAGGTGTATTCAGTGGGCAGGACTTCCTGAGCCTCACTCACCGTTCCTTCTCTACCACCGCATTAGCCCCGGAGCCTGCCAAACGAGCCCCGGAGGCCACTCACCCTGGAACACTTCCACCTCCCAGTCTCTTTCTCTTCACATACGCCACGCACACACCTGCAAAGATCCAGGCAGCCTGTCTTTATGTGGATTTAACTGCTGCAGACAATGGCCTACATGTACTTTTTTTTTCTTTTTTTTTGAGACGGACTCTTGCACTGTCGCCCAGGCTATAGCACAGTGGTGCGATCTCGGCTCACTGCAACCTCTGCCTCCTGGGTTCAAGCAATTCTCCTGCCTTAGTCTCCCAAGTAGCTGGAACTACAGGCGTGCAGTACCACGCCCAGCTAATTTTTTTGTATTTTTAGTAGAGATGGGATTTCACTATGTTGGCCAGGATGGTCTTGATCTGACCTCGAGATCTGCCTGCCTCAGCCTCCCAAAGTGCTGGGATTACAGGTGTGAGCCACTGCACCTGGCCTGTGTACTTTTTTTTTTTGAGACAGGGCCTCATTCTGTAGCCCAGGCTGGATGCAATGGCGTGATCTTGGCTTACTGCAGCCTTGACCTCCCCACCTTAAGCAATCCTCCCACCTCTGCCTCCCAAGTAGCTGGGACTAGAGGTGCATGCCACCACATATGGCTAATTTTTTAAAATTTTTTGTAGAGATGAGGTCTCACTATGTTGCCCAGGCTGGTCTCAAACTCCTGAGCTCAAGTGATTCTCCTGCCCTGGCCACCAAAAGTGCTGGGATTATGGGCAGGAGCCACTGTGTCCAGCAATATGTGTACATTCTTTTCTTTCTTTTTTTTTTTTTTTCAATCTGTCATCCAGGCTGGTGTGCAGTGTCACGATCTCGGCTCACTACAACCTCCACCTCCTGGGTTCAAGTGATTTTTCTGCCTCAGCCTTCTCAGTAGCTGGGACTACAGGCATGTGCTACCACGCCTGGCTAATTTTGTATTTTTAGTAGAGACGGGGTTTCACCATATTGGCCAGGCTGGTCTCGAACTCCTGAGCTCGTGACCTGCCTGCCTTGGCCTCCAAAAGTGCTGGGATTACAGACATGAACCATTGTGCCTGGCCTTTTTTTTTTTTTGAGGAGTCTCCTCTGACACCAGGCTGGAGTGCAGTGGCGCAATCTCGGCTCACTGCAACCACCGCCTCACAGTTCAAGTAATTCTTCCGCCTCAGCCTCCCAAGTAGCTGGGACTACAGGTGCGTGCCACACCTGGCTAACTTTTGCATTTTTTTGTTTTTTTAGTAGAGACAGGGTTTCACCATGTTGGTCAGGATGGTCTTGATCTCTTGACCTTGTGATCCGCCCACCTCAGCCTCCCAAAGTGCTAGGATTACAGGCATGAGCCACTGTGCCTGGCCCTTTTTTGTTTGTTTTTTTAGAGACAGGGTCTTGCTTTGTTGCCCATACTGGAGTACAAGTGGTGTGATCTTGGCTCACTGTAGCCTTGACCTCCGGGGCTCAAGTGCCTCCTTCCTAAGTGCTGGATTACAGGCATGAGGCACTGTGCAGGGCAATTCTTGTCTTTTTTATGTATTTTAACTGAACTGAGGGGTAAAGCCTTGCACATTCTCTTTTCTCAAATTGAAAAGGAAATAGGTTACGCTTACTGTCAACTCCAGTACTTCTCCCGCTGACTTCAGAGTCCTGTAAAGTGCTTCCTTTCTTTCCCTGCTCCTTCCAGAAAGTCTGTCTGTGCTAACATCAGTGCCCAATTCTATGGTCACTTATCACTTATCGACACCACACTTTGTCATTATGAACCACCTCTTCAAGAGGGATTTATCAGTTTGGCCCTTATCCATCTCATTTCAAGTCCCCACAGAGAATTCTGGGCTTCCCTCTCATCTGAATGTCACAATGTCTCTTTTTTCTACTATCATTCACCTCTATGAAGCCCTTGGTCAGTTTTCTTGAGAAATGCTACAGAAAATAAAACTGTACTATACCACTGGACTACAAAGAAAAGTAATTTTCACAAAAAGTAGAAAAATGTAATTTTAGTCAACTGTCCTCTGCAGGAACAAGACATGATGTATTGCACCAGAAAAAGCAAATGACACTGCCATTAATATCCAGCGCCCCTGGAATTCTCTGGCATGCCAGAGCACTTTTTTATAGCAGGGCCAAAAAAAATTCTACTGGCAAATCTTTAGCAATACATGCACCTGGGAACCCTTATGAAATCTACAATTCAAAGCCCAACTAGACTTTCTGTAAACTGACCGGGGGTAATACAGGGCCTTATTCTAGTTTCTGCACCAAAAAATGATATCAACAGGTGGAACTTAATTGACCAGGTGGGCAGACAGAAGAGCCCAGTGATCTGCTGAGAGATTAACAGCCATCCTGCTCTCACAAAAGGTACCTAAGAGACAGGAAGAACTGTGTTGCTGAGACAGCCCAATGAAGCGGTCACTGACAATGCCCCTCCTGTCTGAGATCTGTACCAAGCAGATCTGACAGCATTCAAATATAAAATATCACATCTCAGCCCTTTCATTTATTCCTGTTAGCCCCCATGAACATTCATGAGTGGGGAAGAGTGAGTAACAGTTGAAAAAGAAAAAAGACTGGCCTTTAAGACAGTTTGTTTCGTGTGTGTTTTCAGAAAAATAACTTGGGGGGCAGTATAGCATGACGGCTAAGAGCTTTGGGGTCAGACTGCCTGGATTTTAATCATAGCCATACCATTTTCTACTGTGTGACTCTGAACAAGTTACTTAGTCTTTCTGTGTTTCCATTTCCTTACCAATAAGATGAAATAATAATACCTACCTCGTAGGGTTTCTGCAAGAATTAAATGAAATAATACACACAGAAGAGTACCTGGCATAGATACGTGTTGGTTACCACTAGGTAGAGCTACGTCAAACTGCCATTTGATAGGTCAATGAGAATGTTGGCAATATTATCCAACCTCTTGTCCCCATCATCACCAGTACCATTACTGTTGCAGTTATCAATGTTAGTTTACTGCCAGCAGTTTACTGGGCTGGTATTAGATGATGTGAGCCTTACAGTCAAAGTTGGTCTGAATTTGTGAAAGTCAACGTTAAATAGTTGAGGCATAATGAAGACATGGAGCTTCTTTTGTTGAGGTAGGGTCTCGCTCTGTCACCCAGGCTTGAGTACAGTGGTGTGATCACAGCTCACTGTAGCGTCCATCTCCTAGGCTCAAGTAATTCTCCACCTCAGTCTCTTGAGTAGCTGGGACTATAGGTACATGCCACCATGCTTGGATTTTGTTTTGTTTTTTTTGTTGTTGTTGTTAACAAATCCTCCCTCATGTTTATTTGTACAAATAGCATAGGAGGACCCCAGCCCCATGCAGATGGCAGCCCCGGGGGGTCACACCAGTCCTCCTGTCCTCACGTTGGCAGACAGAGATATCTACTCTGAAGCCTTTGTAGGGGCCTGGGCACCTTTGGGAGCCTGAGCTGGAACCGAAGCTGGAGCTGCAGCCTGGGCCTTGTTTTGATCCTTGGACTTGGCCTTGACTTTTGGCCGGCAGAGCCTGAGCCCCTTGGCAGTGCGTGCACGAGCACGCTTCCCAAGCTTGGGGTGGGCAGTGTAAGCAAGTCGATCAAGCTTGTGGCTGACACCCGCCTTTGGGATCTTGGGCTTAACCTCCTTGGGCTTTACGAGAGCCTTGATGGCCTCGGCACGTGCACTCATGGCCTTGGCATTGTTGGCCTGCATCTTCTTTAGGCCCTTCTTGTTGTGCTTCTTGGCAAAGCGCATGTTCCTCAGGAACTTGGGGTCCACCCCCTTAAGAGATTCGTATCTTTGTGATTGGGGTTTCTTGATACCATTTCTGTGCCATTTTTGGGACTGGTTGTGTGTTGTGTGGTTCTTGGACTTGGCCATGTCTGCACCTAAGCTGCGGTTCCCTGGATTTTTTAATTTTTTGTAGAGACAAAGTCTCAATAGATTGCCCAACTGGTCTTGAACTCCTAAGCTCAAGTGATCTTCCCGTCTTGGCCTCCCGAGTGCTGGGATTACAGGCATGAGCCACCATGCCTGGCCAAAAGGGAACTTCCTAACGTCTATTCCTCTTTTATTTTCTCTCTTCTGTATTACCAAAGGGATCTAGAGCCTTATGGGTACTACTTGGGAAATGAGAACTCATACTCGTCTGGAAATACCTTGAAAGAAATCACAAATACTCCTTCTGTTTCACTTCCATATTGCTGAATTGCCTCTTCATCTTCTGTCACCATAACAATTGGCATCCTGTCCTGGCAGTGATGGTAGTACCAAACAGCCGCGTTGTATATGCTCCTGGAAAAGCAAAGGGCAAGTGAGCCCTCCCCAGGCAGACAAACACAAGCTCTTGTTCAGAATTTCATATCTGGCTTTTAATTTGCTATCCTGCCACCATGCCCTGCCAATCCCTGGCTAATTTTTAACTCCTTGTACAGATGGGGTCTCACTATGTTACCCAGGCTGGTATCAAACTCCTGATCCTCTCAGGTCTACAATCCCAGCACTTTGGGAGGCTGAGGTGGGCGGATCACGAGGTCAAGAGATCGAGACCATCCTGGCCAACACGGTGAAACCCTGTCTCTATTAAAAATACAAATAAAAAAAAAAATTAGCCAGGCATGGTGGCGCGCATCTGTAGTCCCAGCTGCTCAGAGGCTGAGGCAGGGGAATCGCTTGAACCCGGGTGGCAGAGGATGCCGTGAGCCAAGATCATGCCACTGTACTACAGCCTGGGCAACAGAACAAGACTGTCTCAAAAAAACAAAACAAAAACAAAACCTCCTGATCCTCTTGCCTCAGCCTCCCAAAGTACTGGGATTATAAGCATGAGCCACTGTGCCCAGCTTTCAAGGTAACTTCTGAGGCACATTCCGTGTGGCTCCTCAGCAGCACTGATGCAGCCTTTGTTCCCCACAGATGCGGCACGTGCTTCTCCATCTTCCCTCCGTCTCCATCTCACTCTCCCTGCTCCCTCACTCCTGCTTCTGGGAATTGCTTTCCACATAAACACTCCACATTCAAGGGCTTGCTTTAGGCTCTGCTTTCAGGCAGACTTAAACCAGGACACTGTCTTTCCTGAAGCAGCTTTTTCAGAATGAAATGACCAGTTGCAGTTGAGTAAGACTGGAAGTAGGAGCCTGGCCAGGCACAGTGGCTGGCACCTATAATCCCAGCACTTTGGGAGGCCAAGACAAGCAGATCGCTTTAACCCAGGAATTCCAGACCAGCCTGGGCAACATACTGGGACCCCATTTCTTCAAAAAATACAAAAACTAGCCGACTGTGGTGGCACATGCCTGTGGTCTCAGCTACTTGAGAGGCTGAGGTGGGAGGATCACTTGAGCCCAGAAGGTGAGTTGTGATCATACCACTGTATCGGCCTGGGTGACAAAGCAAAAAACCCTGGCTCAGGAAAAACCAACAACAACAACAAAAACCCCCAAAAACAAAACGAAACCTGCCTTCCGCATACATACACATACATACAACACATATAAAATACACACGTTAAAGTTACGACTTCTAGGTCACGGGAATGATCCCGTTGGCTGCTAGGTTCTGGGGCAAACATACTCTGGGTACCTAACTCTTCCTAACTACAATTTAAAAAAATATATATCAGTTATGCATTTAAATGATATATCTAAAATATGGACATGGTAAGCATTTCGGTGTGAATCACGGTTCAGAATAATTGTTCGTTTGGTCCAGCATACTATTCAGATGAACTCCCAAACAGCAAATGATGAGGAAATGAAAGACGACAACGGTATGAACACCACAGCAAGTCAGGGCCGTACCTGGTCTGCCACTTCTCCATGGACTCTCCTCTTTCCCGAGGCAGATAGCAGCATTGCTGGAATTCATTAGCAAAGAGGATGCAATCATGACGGGCATCCTTCAGCAGGTTTCGCAGCTTGTTATACTGTCTGTGACAGGGAGGAGAAAAATTAATCTAACGAAGCAGGTACTCATCTGCCGCCGTCTCTTACTAAGGGTCAAAAAAGCATGGGGCATTTTAGAGCAAAAGATTGATTACTTTAAACCTGAAAAACGTGTGTTTATATTGGTCTCAGTGTGCTCAGTGCTCAGTATCGGGTTGCCACGGTTTCTCGATTTTGCCTGCTATATCGTGCCTGGGCAGGGCCTAGTTAATTAGTTTGCAGATCAATTAAACTCCTTTTCTTCTTTCCCCTTCAGAGACTTCTAGTCATTTTGTTATGTAATTATACTGCCTTGTCCTGCCTCGCCTCCTTCTTCAAAGCCTGAGTACACCGAGGCAAGCAGAGAGTTTAGGACTTTATTTTTGGACCTCACTTTGTTCTGTAAATACCATTAAGCATTAATATATTTGATTTTTTGATGGCAGCCCTAGAAAAGAACGTGCAAGGTAAATACGTTTGGTGATTTATCTGTGAATTTTATTTATGCTGCCACCATGATTTACATAAGTGAGAGCTAGCCTCATCTGTCAGACAACTAACAGAAAGTCTTAAGGTTTTGCCCATCAAGAGATCCTTTCCACGGCCGAGGAGAGACAATAGTTTGAGACCAGGAGTTAACACCTGCATGGGCAACATAGGGAGATCTTGTCTCTACCAAAAAATACAAAAATTAGCCACGTATGGTAGTGCACACCTGTAGTCCCAGCTACTTGGGAGGCTGAGGTGGGAGGATTGCTTGAGCCTGGGAAGTCAAGGCTGCAGTGAGCTGTGATTGTGCCATTACATTCCAGCCTGGGGGACAGAGCAAGACCTTGTTTCAAAAAACAACAACAAAAAAAGATCCTTCCCACAATGCTGGCCGAAGTCACAAATCAAACATCAAGTCTTCTAGGGGTCAGTTTCTAAGAAGGTGCTTTTCAATAGTCTAGGTAATACGAAATTACAGAAAACACTCGGTTATGTTAAAGGGAGCCAACTGCTTATTTAAAGAAAAACTGCGGGGCGTGGTGGCCATGCCTGTAATCTCAGCGCTTTGGGAGGCTGAAGAAGGGCTGCCTGAGCCCAGGAGTTGAAGACCTGCCTGGGCCACATAGCGAGACCTCATCTCTACACAAAATAAAAATGCAAAAATTAGCTGGGCATATTTGCAAAGGTATATGTCACAAATGAAAAAAAAAAATTAGCTGGTCGTGGTGGTACATGCCTGCAGTCCCAGCTACTCAGGAGGCTGAGGCAGGAGGGTCCTTTAAGCCCAGCAGTCTGAGGCTGCAGTGAGCTATGATTAGGCCACTGCACTCGAGCCTGGGCAACAGAATAAGACCCTGTCTCTAACGAAATAAAAATAAAATAGCCGGGCGCGGTGGCTCAAGCCTGTAATCCCAGCACTGTGGGAGGCCGAGGCAGGTGGATCACGAGGTCAAGAGATCGAGACCATCCTGGTCAACATGGTGAAACCCCGTCTCTACTAAAAATACAAAACATTAGCTGGGCATGGTGGAGCGTGCCTGTAATCCCAGCTACTCAGGAGGCTGAGGCAGGAGAATTGCCTGAACCCAGGAGGCGGAGGTTGCGGTGAACTGAGATCGCGCCATTGCACTCCAGCCTGGGTAACAAGAGTGAAACTCCGTCTCAAAAAAAAAAAAAAAAAGAGCAACTTATAAAATATCTGTTTTTTTTTCCTCACTCTGTTGCCCAGGCTGCTGTGGTACAATCCCGGCTCACTGCAACCTCCGCCTCCCAGATTCAAGTGATTCTCCAGCACTCAAGTAGCTGGGTTTACAGGCATGCACCACCATGCCTGGCTAATTTTTGTATTTTTAGTTGAGACTGGATTCCACCATGTTTGCCAGGCTGGTCTCAAACTCCTGACCTCAGGTGATCCACCCACCTTGGCTTCCCAAAGTGCTGGGATTACAGGCGTGAGCCACCATGCCTGGCCATGAAATATTTAATAAACAAAGGGACTCAGTTTCATTTCTGTGAATAGCAGCTTTTCTTAACAGAATTCCAGTTGTACAAACAAATGCTGTTCCCTCACCCCTCAAGATGCACTGAAGATATCATACTAGTAATTTTCCCACTTTCACAAAGACACTTTTTCGAGACAGGGTCTCACTCTGTCACCCAGGTTGGAATGCAGTGATCAGGGCTCACTGCAGCCTCAAACTCCTGGGCTCAGATGATCCCCCCACCTCAGCCTCCTGAGTAGCTGGCACACCCCAATACAACTGGCTAATTTTTGTATTTTTTTTTTGTAGTGACAGGGTCTTGCCATGTTGACCATGCTGGTCTCGAACTCCTGGGCTCAAGCAATCCTCCTGCCTTGGCCTCCCAAAGTGTTGGGATTACAGGTGTGAGCCATCATGCCTGGATAAAGACACTTTTAAAACTTATTTTAAAAGCCTCTTAGAAGAGTCTATGCCACACTGTTAACAGCGTGGGCAGGCTTTCATTTTCTGCCTTGCCCATTTTGGTAATGCTCGGAATTTCCAGAATGAGCACTTATTTATTAAATAATAGGAACGATTTTTGGAGCGATTTCATAAACATCTGCAATCTGTTATTTCAGAGAAAACATTGAAAAAGTATTGCCTGCTCTTCCTGACTCTGTCCCCTAGAAGTTTTTGTTCCCTTTACCTACCACCCCATTTTGTTCACTCTTACAAAACACTTGAATTTACTGTGGTTATTTGTTTACTAATGGTCTCCCTTGCTAAACATCCTTCATTTAGCAAATCTTTGCTGCACTACTTCTGTGTGCCAGGTTTGCTGGGGGAGGTGAAGGCTGCTGCACTGAATGCCCTTGAGGACACCAACTAACCAACCCACTGCATCTGAACAGTGACCTACGGCATAGATAGGGCAGTGCCCCATGTCTACAGCAAAGAAAGGAAGAACAAAGCTACCATACGATCCAGCAATCCCACTTCTAAGTATATACCTAAATTGAAAGCGAGGGTTCAGATAGACATGTGTACACCAATATTCATGGCAACATTGCTCACAGTACACAGGCAAAAGGTGGAAGCAATCTATCACGGGTGAACGGATAAGCATAATGTAGAATATATTATTCACATTTAAAAAGGAAGAAAATTGTAGCACATGCCAGAACATGGGTGAGCCGTGACACATTATGCAGAGTGAAATAAGCTGCTCACAAAAGGACAAACACTGTGTTATTCCAGTTACATGAGGTACTAAGAGTAGTCAAATTCACAGAGATGGAAGGTAGAATCGCAGAACAGGGGCCAGGGAGGGGAGATAGCATCTCAAGGGTGTACAGTTTCAGTTAGGATCAATGAAAAGTTCTGGAGACACATGTTAGTGATGGCTGACAACAGTGACTATGTATTTAATCCCCTTGAACATTGCACTTAAAAATGGCTAAAATGGGCCAGGCGCGGTGGCTCACGCCTGTAATCCCAGCACTTTGGGAGGCTGAGGCGGGTGGATCACGAGGTCAAAAGATTGAGACCATCCTGGTCAACATGGTGAAACCCCGTCTCTACTAAAAATACAAAACATTAGCTGGGCATGGTGGCACGTGCCTGTAATCCCAGCTACTCAGGAGGCTGAGGCAGGAGAATTGCCTGAACCCAGGAGGCGGAGGCTGCGGTGAGCCGAGATCGCGCCATTGCACTCCAGCCTGGGTAACAAGAGTGAAACTCCGTCTCCAAAAAAAAAAAAAAAAAAAAAAAAAGGTTAAAATGATAATTTTATGTATGTACATTTTACCACATTTAATAAAAAGGCTATGCTACCTGGCAAAAACAAACCAAACATAACACAGAACCACCCATTTCAGTGGGATAAGTGTCTTGAAAGGAGATGGGAGGGATGGGAAGGCTTCCTGCAGTAGGAGACCCATGAGCCCTGAAGGATGAATAAGAGTAAGCGGAGACAAAGGGCCCAAGAGAGGACAGCAGGGCGGAAAGTGTGACACAGCAGACAGCACGGCTTTACTTCACCCACAGCAGGTGCTTTCCAATCGAACAAATAAATGCACAGCCCTACATGATCACAGTGATCCAAGTCCAGGATACCAACACCCCAGAATAAACGGACATTTCCAGAGCCCAGTTGCCTTTTGCTAAGCTTCACAGACATCACTGCATTTGTTTTTACACCTTCACTTCAGACCCAGAGATCTTTTTGTTTTTTTTGAGACAGGGACTCACTCTGCTGCCCAGGCTGGAGCACAGTGGCACGATCACAGCTCCCTGCAGCCTCAATCTCTCAGGCTCACGTGTTCCCTCACCTCAGCCTCATGGGCAGACAGGACTACAGATGCACACCACTATGCCCAGCTAATTTTTTCTTTTGTATTTTTTATTGAGACAGGGTCTCACTATGTGACCCAGGCTCATCTCAAATTCCTAAGCTCAAGCAATCTCACCTCAGCCTCCCAACGTGCTGGCCATGAGCCACTGCAGACCCAGGGTCTCTTGAATTCTGTCCTCTGCAAATACTGATGTGCCACAAGCCAGACCAAGGGGGTACCATCAGATTAATGACAATGCTTCCTAATATTTAGAAAAATATATAATTTAACAAAAAATGTTCTCAATTTTAAGTTTCACTCCCATATATATTTTCTTAGACTTTCAGTGCAAGCTTCCATTTGTCAGCTACCAATCAGCCAGATGAAACAAATGAACACATGGTACAAGAATATTAATGCAGAAAGCAGGAAACAAACAGCAAATCACTCTGAGAGTGACAGTCGGGTTTGCTTGTAGACATCTGGGCTTATGGTTATAATTTAATAGCGCATATATACAATACAGTCATATTTTTTGCTAGTCCGGGTTTTGCAGGGCATATGATGGGACTAGATAGATGAATATCCTGCGTGGAGTCAGCAAACAGCACCAAGTGCCTAAAGCAAATTTGACTACAATGACAGGAGAACAATGGTTTCAGATAGTCAAGTACAGACTGGGTGTAGGAGCTTACGCCTCTAATCCCAGCACTTTGGGAGA